TGCAGAAAAAAATGCCTGAGTCACATGCAGGGTGCAAGAAGTCCACTTTATGGGAATTGTCAATCATAAAAAAGACTGCTCAATCAAAAAGTTGTGTTTTAGGAAAGGAACCCTATCACTTATACCCAGCACTGGCTTTAGAAGTTGCCTACTTCCCTGGATTCTCCTCTTAGATAAAGTTTTGGTGTTCTGTTCTTTCCTGTTACACGTGAGAGTTTATAAAACACCTCTCCTTCGACCTACTTCAGCTCATCTCTATCACTGAATTCAGCAGCCTCTGAATAAGCACAGTGCTCTCTTCTCTAATGACACCTAATTAGCTCTTGTAATTAAAGCTGTACCCAAAGGGCTGAGCTTTGCACAGATGTTGGCATTGTTTCAGGTAACCTCATGGGGTTACTGCTCAGGTTGTTCCTCAGCACCTGATGGGACAACTGGGGGGCCTTATATAAGACCCTAGCAAGGTGGTTTTCTGAGGATTTGTGGTCAGGGCCTTGGGGGATGTTTCTGGGCTGGGATATTTTTAAACTGGTATTCCAGATATGTTGACTTCCAGTATTTGTTTCTCTATTACTCACCAGCGAGTCCAAAGTTTCCCCAAGTGAATGTGGACAGCCTGCCCCTGGGAGATCCTCCATCATTCAGACCTTGGTAAAATTTTCCTCTCATTCATTGATCTCAGGGTTGGAAAAAAAACAAAACCAAAACCAAACAGCTCAACCACAAATTAATAAGTTCAAATTTTCTCTCTCCCTATTTGGATAACTTGCTTCAAGCCCACATTTGACCATAAGAGCATTTCTTATGGTCCCACCTCCAGCAAATGTGATGCTCCTCTTGTGCTATGACCCTTGCAGCTGCCTGGCCAGGGATGTTTCATTCTGAGACCAAGGGCTGACTAAACTCATAGCTCTTAGGTCAATTAAGAGAGACAAATAAAAGGCTGGTCCTGAGGCTGGCTCAATAGACATTCCAGATAAAGAGGAAATCTTTCCTCAGAAACTATGAATGTCCAATAGCCCTCAGCTTCCTCCTTCACACCACCTGAAATCAATCCAAGTAGGGCATTGGCAACCACCTCTAACAGGCAAAATTTTCAGCCCTGTTCTAGAATAAGCTTGAGCAAAAGAGGGGAGAATTGCACCTTAGATGTTATAGATGGGAAAGCTGCAGTGTTTCTGGGTACTTTTTTTCCCTTTTACCTGCAGGTTCCTTTATATCACAGACAATTATCATTAAATTCATAGAAACTATGACTTGCTGTCATAGAAACATCTGAAGGAACCTGATTTTTGCACCTTCTAACACCAAGTCACAGGGTGGGGGTTTGACCACTGGAGGTGCAGCTCAGCCAGGAAAGCTGGGCAATAAGCAACCACGGGGCTGCATCCCTCTGAACAACTGCTCCCAGGAGGCCATGGAAAGCCATGAAGATGTGCTATGGGTTCTGGGTGTGCAGCAAGAACAGCTCTACCTCTTCCATTGGTGTTTCTTCTTTATTCCCTTCTTACAGCTGCACCATGAGATTCACTGAGGTAACGACACCAAGTAATCTGTGGTGTCGTCCTCATGCAAAGAAGACCATCAGAGAGGTGAGAGCTTTTAAACTGTACTTAATAAAAACAAAACAGGCAAAAACAACTGGCAAAACTCAGATGTAGAAGATGGTGGGGGCAGGAGAGGGTGCGTGGTTGCTCTGTCCCTGGGATGCTGACAGTCACAGTGCTGCTAAAAGGGTTTGAGGCAAAGGACCCAGCCATGGGATAACATCAACAGGATCCCTTGGCACAAGGATTCCAGCTGGTCTCACCAGACACAGCCCTAACCACAAGCTGGGGATAAATCCATATCTGTGTTCCCACAGAGATCTAGAAAGGAACAAGGTGTTTATGTTGAGTTAAGGAATAAGTCAGCTAGATGGATCCACTTCAAATTGAAACTTGCTCAGGACCATTCAGAAGACCCCCCACAAACCCTCCACCCCCATTCCCACCCAGCTCTGCTGTCCCACTCATTTTCACAATGCTTTTGGCCATCTGGATTTCCTTCATTTCATCCACCACCACCCAGCCATCAAATAAGGAAGAGAAATTACATTGACGTTTGTCATTATTTATTACAAATTAAATTTTGCAAATTACGGTCTAAAAAAAAAATCAATAGATTTAAATAAATATACAGATTTCCAGATGCTACATACAGCATGTGTGCACTAAGTCACTCAAAGATGAGACCCTACACACAAGGAGATATACATAGTACTTTACAGCAGTAGTTTTACTTTAAATTACTAGGCTCACATTAAACCATGTGCAAAGTTTCCTCTTGAACAAACCCTTTCAAGGATTTTTTTTTTTTCCTTTGGGATGTCTCAAACCTTTAGAAGGTCAAATATAAAAAAGAGATTGTCTGCAGCTTTGGGCACCAAACGATTAGCCTGATGTTTCATTTACAGTACAATCAATTGGTCTCTTTTTTCCCCCCCTCCTCTAGGGCTTAAGGCAAAATCAAGGCAGAGTTTTGTACGTCCAACGGGACTACACTTGCAACAGCCACAGATTTTTGGTCCACCACCAACCTCAAGCAGCCTTTTCAAACGATGTGTAATACTGGGTTGGGCAGCAAGGGGGACCCAACGGTGGTTCCAGGAGAGCAATTATTCGTCTGCACTAGGTGACAGCTACAGCCACGATTTATAATAGAAATTAATCTGCCCAGGCAAACAAAAGTGCATTTGTGATACAGCTCCAGAGCTGAGATTGTGTTTGCCTGCAAGATTGGTTTCTAGGTCCTGGGCTCAGTGTTTTTTTCCAGATGATTCCTTCCCTCCCCTGGGCCAGCAGCACTGTGCTGCTCCATGGCTGGGGAAGAAGCTGTGACTCTGGCAGGGGTTTAAAGCTCAGCCTTCCTCCTAAAGCTGTGCAGACAGTGCTGTGCTCTCCTTGCCAATCCTTTCCTCCACAACAATCCCACCTGGCTGCCCCTTACGCTTCTCACAGTGACTGCTATCCACATACTGGTCATTTATTATGCACAGCCTGACCCGGAGACCTGATCTAAGCGAAGCAGCAAGCAAGCCTTTGCATGCCATTTTCCCACCACCCATCTCCTCTGCTCTAGCCTTTCCTTTCAGGCAGAGCTGGAAGAAAACTGGGCTATTAGGTTAAGACCTGGAAGTACTCTGCCCCGCTAAGGGTGTGTCCAAGGTGAGGAGACAGATTCAGAGCATGAACGCATCCTGACTAGCAGCTCGGCTCTGCCTTGGACCCAGTGGGGCTCCCTCCCCCAGGCTATGGGAGGCTGCATGCACAGGGCTCCTGCAGAAACACAGCCCCACTGCAGCCTCCCACCCCTGCTGCGGCTGTGCCCCGTGGCAGGGGTTGTGCTTGGACCTGACACAAGCTCCAGTGTCACCAACCTATCCTCCACCTGAACAAGAGCCACCTAAAGACAGCCCTTCGGTGAATGTCACAGCCTAAGGATGCCACTGACTACCCAGATGGCTTCCAGGCTTCTAGATGATATACATCTTTTTAATAAAAACGGGGAGCTGGTTTAGCATGGGAGTCTCACCCACATGCACGTGGCACTGTCTGATGAGGAAGAGAAGAGTGCAAAGGTGGGCTCATGCTGGAGGCATCCCCACCTACAACAGCCAGCCAAACCACCCCTGAGTGGGGTTGAGCTGGAACCACACTCAAAGATGGCTCGAAAGCAGAGCAGAGCAGGCCAGTGCTGCAGGCTCAGGGCTGCCAGGTCCAGAACTGCCCAGAGCCATCTGCTTTGGAAGCAACTCAACTGCCCAGCACAGGCTGACCCTCTGCCTAGGGCTCCAGGGCAGAGTGAAGCCAGTACTCCTTCAGCAAGACCCTTGCCCGATCCAAAAAGGCACAACTCAGCTCCACGACACATCTATGACTGTATAGAGAGAGAGTTTTCCCTTTACAACAGCCTCTGGAGTGCGTGCAGCACTGGTTCACACCACAGGAGCACGGAGACTTCCACTTCTTCCCCTTTCTGCTCATGGCCTTTCCTTCAGCTCTAACTACCGACAGCGGAGTTAGTGGCACCCACAGGACTCCAAATTCTTCTGGTGAACTCGGTGTGCACCTGTTTCTTATCTCTTCTTCTTCCAGATGTTTTTCTTCCATGGCAGAGCTGTTGGCTGTGCGTTCCTCTGGGAGCGATGCCGCTGCTGGCTGAGCTGCGGGCGGGAGGTGGCAACACCCCTGTGAGAAGAAGAGACACAATATTCACTCTCCAGTTCATTTCCTACCACTCAGATAGAGCCCATATTATATTGATCCACCAAGATTTGTTTTGAGACATGGGGGAATTTCCAGCTGTGGGTCTATTAAGCCACAGCAGAGCCCCATCTAGCCCAATGTCCCCCTTCCACCAGCAGCCCGTGGCAGAGGATTCAAGGAGTTCTGCAGCTGGGTGTGACCCAAGTGATGCTTCCCCAGATCTGCCTTGCAGAAAGTGTTCCCATTGCATCTGATTTAACTGTTGCCAATAGACCAACCCTCCCTCAATTTGCCAACTCCCTTTATCTCAATTACACTCCTGGAGCCCACGGTTTCTTCCAGCAGTGAGCTCCATAACTCACTGATGTGCTGTAAGAGAAGCTATTGCCTTTGGTCCAAAGTTGCTGCCCAATCAACCATCTCTACGTGATCCTGTCCCTCCCCCCTTCTTGTAAGTCACCCATTTGCTTGTTGATATCAGAGGAACGTCCCACTCCATCAAGAACTATGGTTTATGTAACATTCCTCTGGTTTTGGAAGGACACAAGCAACCCTGGTTCCCTCAGCTGTTAGCCTCCAATTCTACAGAGGGCAGAAACAGTCAAGTCTACTCAAAGGGAGTCAATGAGGGGAAACCAGGTCAAATCCAAGTGGTAACTGCAGTGTGAGGTCACAAGGGCAGAGTATAAAGTGCTGAGGAGGGATTAAGGGCCACGCTCACCTGAGAGCTCTCAGCAGGCCACGATGGGAAGGCCTCACACCACCACTCTGTGGAGATTTCAGTGATGCTCCAGAGCTCACTGGGAGCTTCAGACCATGGAGGTACCTAACGAGCAAGAGGAGATGTGTGAACCATTCACATCCAGACAAGCTGTGGTAAGTACCAGGGGGAGTGTTGCTCTAATGTCACCAGTGACAGACTAAGACAGTTGAATGCACGTTTTTGAAGGGTTAATTGCAGCTATTTGAGAGCTATTCATAGCTCACTTTTGCTGCTACTCTTTTGTCAGACTTCCATCTATTCACAGTTACAGTCAATGATTGGGGATTTTAGCTCTTGCCTTGCTATAAAATTAGTGACAGATATGGACACTGAGTTCGCTCCCCATGGTGCCAGCACTCTTCTGTGCCCCTGGCGAAGGGACACAACCCAGAGCACACGTGCACTGCAAAAAGAACTGGCTACAGAAGATATTTGACTTCCAAGTCCCAGCTTGGAGCAATCCTACTCTCCTGCAGCCTCTCCCACCTGGGTCATGCAGGAGACACCAGTGTCCCAAAGCTTCAAACCCGCTGCTTGTCCCTCTCCCAGCGTGCTGCCATCTCCCCCCTTCCCACCAGCGCTCCCAGAACTTCCTCAGTCTCCTGGCAGCAGGAGGGATGGAGGTAACGTTGCTTCCTATCAGCTCGTAAAGAGACAGTTGTACAACAAAACCACCCTAGTGACACTTTCCCAGGGCCTCTTGGGAAGGGCAGGAAAGCCACCAGGTGAGCTCCAGCTGCCTGCAAATCCCTACGCAGTCATCCCCAGGGAGGCTGGGGAGTTACTCCAGCTCTTCAGCTCTGTCTCTCTGCTTGCACCCTCCCCCAGAAACCCCCAGGGACGTGCCCAGGACCCCCCTGACTTACCCAGGCTTTGCTTGGCAGAAGGTGGCACAGATGCTGTCCCTCGAGTGCGAGCACTCGCACCTGCCCAGCGCTCTCTTGCGCCGCCTTGGCGGGCTGCCCAAGCCGTAGGGAGCGGTGTGTCTGTTCAAAACAAAAGAAATCAGCTATGCAACTAACGTTTTATTAGCCAGCAGGTTTATAACACGCTCCTGGGAGGCAGCCAAGCCAGTGCCAGGATAATAAAAGACTCATCTATAGACATAAGGTGAAAAGGTCATTGATATGTCTAAGCCTTTAAACTCCAGCTCCTCTCCCACCTACTGTTTTCCCCACCCCACCCCTCCCCGGGAGATTGCTGGTATGTGCTGGGTTGCAAGTGGAATTTTCTCTCCTTGCAGCAGCCCAGGTGCCTGTGCAAGGGTTGCCACACGGGCTGGGTGAGCTGGCAGTTCACCTGCATGGCACAGTGCAGGAGAAGCGTGGCTGCACCACTCCACCAGCCCCACCAGCAGCGAGCAGCCAGGTTCTCAAGCCCAGAGGTGTCAGAGCTTTCCCCCCCGTGGGGTGTAACACACAGGACACAGTACAAATCAAGCCGTCCTGGGGCCGTAGCAGGTTCCTCTGATCACAGCACCCTCCCAGAGCCGTTAGCACATTCCCTCTCCATCTTTGATCACAATCTACTCTCCCAGAGGGTTTAGGATTGGCACTGACTGCAACTATTCTCTGAGCAAGCAGCGAGTTGTAATTGCATGTTAGCAAGCGTGATTATAACCACACCTGAATACATGTGTTTTGCTACAGCGTGATGGCCATTGGTCTGAAACACCTTGGAAAGCTGCTTTAGCATTCTTGAGGGCAGGACTTGGCAGCCACAGGGCTCCAGTGCCAGCCCAGAACTGTCTCATTAACAATACTGGCACCCAGCAGCCAGGGCTGCAGCTCGCAAAGTGGGAAGAGCAACTTCTGACTCGCGGCTATAACATCTCGCTGTTGCTTTTGGCACGCTGAGGTACAAATCTCAGGGGGAAAAAAGAAATAAAAATATGAACCCGTGAGGCAGCAGACCCTCTGCTTTCACCCCGAAACCCTGCGGGTTGTGCTGGAGGTGCTGAGCAGCAGCAGAGTTTGTCCCTTTCTAGATGTTGAAAGGCTGCGCTTGCAGCGTTCTCTGGAGCAGGTGCCAGAAGAGCCTCTCAGCGCTGGGACCCTTCCTCACCCTCCTCTAACTTAACCCCATCCTCCAGAGAAGTCGAGTCAGAAAGGACAGTCCCTCACCAACAGAGCCAGCACCCCCACCCCCCGAAAGCCACCATCCTGCTCACCCAGGTGTGTTGACCCAGATGATGTCCAGGTGACAGAAGTAGATGCATTCCTTATCCAGCCAGCTGTTGCAGGAACATCTCTTGGCCCTGGGGTGCGTGGCGAGGGGCGACTCCGGCGCAGGGTGGCCCAAACCTGCAGCAGAAGGAGGAAGGGATGAGCCGGGGGCTGTTTGCAGAGCGCTGGAGTGCCCGTCGTTAGCCACCTCCGCGATGGCTCCTCGGCCGAGGAAGGATTACGGCGA